CCGTCTTGGCCTCCAAAGTGCTTGGATTACAGGCGTGAGCCACCACGCCCGGCCTACTTTTATCTTATTTATTTATTTATTTATTTTAAGACGGGGTTTGACCATGTTGGTCAGGCTGGTCTTGAACTCCCGACCTCAGGTGATCCGCCCACCTCGGCCTTCCAGAGTGCTGGGATTACAGGCGTGAGCCACCACGCCTGGCCTAACTGTACACCTTAAGAGGGTGACTTGTATGGTGTGTGAATGTATCTTTAAAAAGGAGGAATGGCCGGGCACAGTGGCTCACGCCTGTCATCCCGGCACTTTGGGAGGCTGAGGTGGGCGGATCGCCTGAGGTCAGGAGTTCGAGACCAGCCTGGTCAACCTGGTGAAACCTCATCCTTAGCAAAAATACAAAAATCAGCCATGCGTGGTGGCAGGTGCCTGCAGTCCTAGTTACTTGGGAGGCTGAGGTAGAAGAATCACTTGAACGCAGGAGGCGGAGGTTGCAGTGAGCCGAAATCACCACACTGCATTCTGCCTCCTGGGAGACACAGTGAGATCACATCAAAAAAAAAAGGCAGGAATAAAACTAAGCTCGGTGGCTTTTGCTGACAATCTCAGCACTTTGAGAGGCTGAGACAGGAGAATCACCTGAGCTCAGGAGTTCAAGACCAGCCTGCACAATATAGCAAGACTCCGCCTCTACTTTAAATTTTTTTTTAATTTTTTTTTTTTTTTTTGAGACAAAGTCTGGCCCTGTTACCCAGGCTGGAGTGCAGTGGCAAGATCTTGGCTCACAGTAACCTCTACCTTCTGGGTTCCAGCGATTCTCCTGCCTCAGCCTCCTGAGCAACTGAGATTATAGGCGTGTGCCACTGTGCCTGGATAAATTTGTATTTTTAGTAGAGACGGGGTTTCATCTTGTTGGTCAGGGTGGTCTCCATCTCCTGACCTTGTGATCTCCCTGCCTCAGCCTCCCAGAGTGTTGGGATTACAGGTGTGAGCCACCACGCCTGGCTTTTAATTCTTTTAAAAAAGAAAGAAATGAGTTAAAAAAGAGAAATAGAGGGCTGGGCGTGGTGGCTCAAGCCTGTAATCCCAGCACTTAGGGAGGCCGAGGCGGGTGGATCACGAGGTCAAGAGATCGAGACCATCCTGGTCAACATGGTGAAACCCTGTCTCTACTAAAAATACAAAACATTAGCTGGGCATGGTGGCGCGTGCCTGTAATCCCAGCTACTCAGGAGGCTGAGGCAGGAGAATTGCTTGAACCCAGGAGGCGGAGGTTGCGGTGAGCAGAGATCGCGCCATTGCACTCCAGCCTGGGTAACAAGAGCTAAACTCCATCTCAAAAAAAAAAAAAAGAGAAATAGAGAGAGAGAAATGGGCAAAGGACAGAGTTGGGAGAAGGGCCTTCCTGGGCAGAGGACCTGGGATCTGGAGCACAGATAATTAAGTATCAGGGGCCAGGCCAGGGGTACCCTGAGCCCAGGGGTCATCTCCTGCTACCCATGGTCCCCAGAAACCTCTGACCCCTCAGTCCCATGCTGGCTGAAGGGCAAAGGCAGAGACAACATCTCTTTCTGACCAAACCCAGAGGCTGCTGGAGAGACGGAGAAGGAAGGTGCTGGGAAGGTAAACTGAGGCAGCCTATCTCCCTGATGGAGACATGCTTCCCACCTATTGGTGGGAGCCATGGAGAACGGAAAAGATGGATCTGGAAAGACAGAGACAGAGGAGGGGAGGTGGGAAGAGGGGCAGGGGCTCTGAAGAGGCTGCCTGACCACACCCATTTTATGGACCAGAAAACTGAGGCCCCCAAGATGAATCACTTACTCCCAGCTGAACCGCAGCTGAACCGCAGCTGAAAGAAACTCTGCACATCTCACAAGTCAGGCCCTGACTCTCTGGCCCCAGGACCCCACAACCTAAGAATAAAACCCTAGCCCAGCCCACGGGTACAGTGGTTCATGCCTGTAATCCCAGCACCTTGAGAGGCCAGGACAGGAGGATCGCTTGAGTCTAGGAGTTTGAGACCAGCCTGGGCAATATGGTGAGACTGTCTCTGCAAATCATCGAATAAACTAAGCCGAGCGTGGTGGCACGTGCTGTGGTTCTGGCTACATAGGAGGCTAAGGAGGGAGAAACACTTGAGCCCGAGAGGTCCAGGCTGCAGCACACTGTGGTCACGCCACTGTACTCCAGCCTGGGCAACAGAGCCAGATCCCATTTCAAAGGAAGAAAAACAACTCTGGTCCATATGCCCCAAGTCCCAGGTGGGCTACAGCCTTGTTCCGCAACCCCCATCCATTCCCCACCAGCCACTTCAGGGCCTTTGCACTCCCTCTTCTGGCCCCTCTTCACCACCTTTGTCCTAGCATTGCCTCTTCCAGGAAGCCCTCCCAGACTCCCTACTTCTCACATCCCCATTCATCACTCTTATGGTTTCTCATAACTCTTTCCCCCTCTCAGCTAAGTGTCCCTCATGACCAGGCAGATCCTGACTTGTGCAAGAAAGGGACTGGCATACAGTAGGCACTAAATGCTGACTTTTTTTTTTCTTTTTGAGACAGGGTCTCACCTTGTCACCCAGACTGGAGTGCAGTGGCGCGATCTCAGCTCACTGCAGCCTTGACCTCCCCAGGCTCAGGTGATTCTTCCACCTCAGCCTCCCAAGTAGCTGGGACTACAGGCGTGTGCCACCAAACATGACTAATTTTTGTATTTTTAGTAGAGACGGGGTTTCACCATGTTGGCCAGGCTGGTCTCGAACTCCTGAGCTCAAGAAATCGGCCTGCCTCGGACTCCCAAAGTGCTGGGATTACAGGTGTGAGCCACTGCATCCGACCCTGACTTCTTAAATGAAACTGAGTTGTGAAATGGGGGCTAACATAGTTCTGATCCCAGGAGCTGCTGTGAGAAGCTGAGTCATGGCTGCTCTGCGGAGCCCTGGAGTAATGGTCGCATAGTAGTTGCTCAATAAATATCAGGCCAGGGCTCTGCTAAGCAAACTTGCTGAGCCCATTGAGATAAGGACTCCAAACCCCTTCCAGTTTTATAGAGGGGCAAGCAGAGGACCAAAGATAACCTCCTGTTGGTCATTTTCTAGGGGCAGAAGGACTCCAAGTGGCTTCATCAAAACAGGGAACTGAAGCCGGGAGCAGTGGCTCATACCTGTAATCCCAGCACTTTGGGAGTCCGAGGCGGGTGGATCACAAGGTCAAGAGATGGAGACCATCCCGATCAACATGGTGAAACCCCGTCTCTACTAAAAATACAAAAATTAGCCAGGCTTGGTGGCGCATGCCTGTCATCCCAGCTACTCAGGAGGCTGAGGCTGGAGAATCCATTGAACCTCGGGGGGCAGAGGTTGCAGTGAGCCGAGACTGCGTGCCACTGCACTCCAGCCTGGACTACAGAATGAGACTTAGTCTCAAAAAAAAAAAAAAAAAAAAGTAAAAAGGTACCAGATGTAAAATGTTGGGTTTCAGGCATGGCTGCATCCAGGAACTAATACTTTATCTCTGCTGCTGTCTTCCCTGCAGACTCCTCTAGCAGGCAGGCACCGCCGCACTGGGAAGGAAAGAGGCTCCCAGCTCCAGGCTTCCCTCTGTCCAGCTTCCCTCTGGCAAAAGTCCCAGCTAGTGCATGATAAACATTGCCTGTCTCCTACTTCTCGCACCCAAGGGACTCCTCATAGGCAGCCAGCTCTAGGGGCCACCAAACAAGGTCCTAGAACACTGGGTGGGCTCAGGACTGGATGGCCAGCAAGTGAGCACTTAGCTGCCTGGAATCCCTGGAGGCCAGGTCACTCTCATGAGGCCCCTTATCTGGCATCCCTTTCTCCCTGTCCACGTGGCCTCCTCCAAAGCCTGGGGCCCCGCCCTAAAAAATAGGGAGGAGAGGCCGGGTACTGGGACTCATGCCTGTAAACCCAGCACTTTGGGAGGTCGAGGCTGGTGGATCACTTGAGGTCAGGAGTTCGAGGCCAGCCTGGCCAACATGGTGACAGGCCATCTCTACTAAAAATACAAAAAAAAATTTAGCCGGGTATGGTGGTGAGCACCTGTAATCCCAGCTATTTGGGAGGCTGAGGCAGGAGAATCGCTTAAACCCGGGAGGCAGAGGTTGCAGTGAGCCGAGATCGCGCCACCGCACTCCAGCCTGGGCAACAAGAGCGAGACTCCATCTCAGTAAATAAATAAATTAATTAAATAAAATAGGGAGGATAAAGTCTCCAGAGAGGGGCATGCCTGCTGGAGGGAACCGCTTAAGCAGAGGCTGGAGGTGGCAGATCCGGAGCGGGGCGGTGGCTTTTGCAGAACTCTGAGCTGCCACCGTGTGGCCGGGGCGCCGGGGCCCAGGCCTCTGTTTCCCCATCTAGATGCATCGACGGGAAAACCAAGGCTCCCCACCCCCAGAGGGGCGGGGCCTGGGCCTCTTGCCTCCTGGCCCTATTGGCTGCCTGGGGTTTCTCCCCAAGAGGCCTCATCCTTTTTCGCCATAAAATTCAGTCGTTCTGGGCCTTAAGGCCCCTCCTCTGTCTGAAACCGGACAAGTCTGTTTAGCAAACGCGGTAGGAGGCGGGGCGGGCCGGGGAGACGCGAGCCGCTGCTGCCACCTGGTGGCCGTGGGGGGAATCTGCGACCACCTGCTAATCGCGGGGGCTGGGGTGGGGTTTCAGGAGCCCCCCGACACTCCGGCTCAGACCACAGTGGAGATCAGGGGGCGGCGGCTGCAGGATGCGGGGGAGGTGGGGTGGTGTGAGCAGCACGGGGGAGGACGCGGGGTGTGTAAGTGGGGCAAAGGTCCTGCTGTGAGTTGCTGGGTGGGAGGAGGAGGGAGCTCCCGTTTGGGAGGGCCAGGCTGCTCCTCTCCCCACGCCCTCCCTTCCTCTGCTCAGTCCTAACTTAGCAGGGTTCCGAGCTCTCATCTGGCTTCGTCTCCCCAGGATTAGGTGCTCCTGGGGGAGGCCCAGAGGAAGAGATTAATAAATACACGTGGAATGAATGAATGAATGAATTCCCAGGCTCCTATTTGGAGATTTTGAGCAGGACATTCAAGCCTCAACTGGAAAAAAGCACCTAAGAGGAGACTCATTTAGGATGATTTTGAACAGCTCTGTAAGCTCATTATCATCACCCCCATTTTATAGGGGGGTGGGGTTGGGATGGGAGGACCATCCTCTTCCCCACAATGTTTACAGCCCCTTCTCCCACATGCCTGGATCCTCCAAGCTTCAAGACCCTCAGTGCTGCAGGGAGCCCTTGAGTCCAGACTCCCCATCCAGTGCCCCCAGGATCCATCTCAGCCTGCTTTGCCCCCATTCCCAGTCTGTTCTACTCCAGAACAGGTCAATGGCATGGTCTGCTCCTGCCCCACGGATGCCAGGTCCAGCAGGGTGCAGCCGCTTCCATTTCACGGCAGCTTCTAGGGTTGCCCCCTCCCGGTGTGTGACGACAGGAGCAGGGAAGACAGGAGGCAGGCGCACTGGAGCCTGGAGGAGCTCTGGGTTATCTGGGTCCAAATTGGACTCCTGTGGGTGCTGCGCAGCCTCAGGCGAGTCACTCACCCTCTTGGAGCCTCAGGGATCACATCTGCGAAATAGAACCGCCATGGTTCCTTGCAAGAGGTGACTGTGGGGATTTGGTGGGAATCATGAGTGGATGGCATGGGCTGGGTATGCCATGAGCGCTTAATAACCAGTCGTCGTGATTGAGATAGTCGCTCTTCCTGTCTGTAAGACCAAGGGGACGTTCCCATTTCTCCCTCAGGCCTCCAGGCCCGGATCTCCCAGGAGCAATGGGTGTCTAGCTCCCACCTGGGCAGGGTTACACCTCTGACCATCCGGCTCACTGAGCCCCAGGAACTTGGCCTTACACCTGTCACCATCCTCCAAGGACAGCTCTGCATCCAGGGCCAGCTCAGGGGTACCCTCAGGTTGCTCTGTCTTCTCGAGAGCTTCAGTGCCCTCGCGTTTGTCCCAGGTCAGCTCCACCACCAAGGCCTCCTGCAAGGATGCCTCTTCCTGGAAGTCCATCGGGTTGATACACTGCCAAGTCTGCAGAGGGCCAGGGAGGGCCGAGGATGTGAGCAGACCTCTACTTCCCATTCACAGCAGGACGGAACGGACCAGGTCCCTGCTGGTCCATTCTCTAAAATCCTGGGACCTGGCCGGGGGCAGAGGCTCACATCTGTCATCCCAGCACTTTGGGAGGCTGAGGCATGTGTGGGATCACTTGAGGTCAGCAGTTTGAGACCAGCCTGGGGAACATGGCCAAACCACATCTCTGCTAAAAATACAAAATTAGCTGAGCTTGGTGGCGCACCTGTAGTCCCAGCTACTCGGGAGGCTGAGGCAGGAGAATCGCTTAAACCTGGGAGGCAGAGGTTGGCAGCGAGGGGAGATGGCACCACTGCACTCCAGCCTGGGCGACAAGCAAGACTCCATCTCAAAAAAAAAATATATATATATGTATCCTGAGACTGATTTGAGGCTTGACTCTTCCTCGGTGACCCCCACTCAGCACCTCTTCAGGGCACTCCCAGCTCTCTTTGGGAAATTTCCCTCCCTCTTTTCTTTTTTTTTTTTTTAGACAGAGTCTCACTCTGTCGCCAGGGTGGAGTGCAATGGCGCGATCTCGGCTCCCTGCAACCTCCGCCTCCCAGGCTCAAGCGATTCTCCTGCTTCAGCCTCCCGAGTACCTGGGATCACAGGCGTGGGCCACCATGCCCGGCTAGTTTTTGTATTTTTAGTAGAGACGGGGTTTCACCATCTTGGCCAGGATGGTCTCGATCTCTTGACCTCGCGATCCACCCGCCTCAGCCTCCCAAAGTGCTGGGATTGCAGGCGTGAGCCACCGCGCCCAGCTCCCCCGTCTTTTCCCAGATGGTGGGGCTGGCAGTGCAGGGACTCCACCTCAGCAACAGCAATGGTCATGTGACCCTGACCCCGCCGCCCATCAGACCCGTCCCTTCCTCTCTGGTTCCAGCCCTAGGCTCAGGGAAGGGCATGTGACCCACACAGGGCCAATCAGTGATGGCCCTGAGACTTTTGCTCCAGTTTATGGGAAGAAGGGACACCCTGCTTCCAATCAGAAAAGGCTCAGCCTGGCTGGGTGAGAACCCTAAAGGGGCAGCTCCGAGACAGACCCCAGTCGCTGGACTCAGCCGTATCTGAAGCCCACTCCCTTGGGATTTTTCCATCAGGTGTGCTTTATAATGAAGACACTGAGTTTTGTTTCTAGTGCCAGGAAATGGACCCCTGCTTGCCTGTCTTCAAAATGGGACGGGGTTTAGAGCACTGGTTTTGGAGTCCTTACCTCGATGGATTGGGGGAAATAAAATGAGCTAATTCGTGACCCTTGCGTAGAGTGTGCACCCAATAAAAAGACTAAGAACTAGAAAAGGAGTCCTTACCTCCTTCCCTCCAGTAAACTCAATGGCGGAGCTGGCACAGGGTGTGGGCAGGGGTGGGCACAGGTGCCGTGCGGCTCTGGGGAAGAAAGGGGGCCGGTCAGAGGAACTGTGCTTCTTTTTTTTTTTTAGAGGTGGAATCTTGCTCTGTTGCCCAGCCTGGAGTGCAGCGGTGAGATCTCAGGTCACTGCAACCTCTGCCTCCTAGGTTCAAGCAATTCCCCTGCCTCAGCCTCCCAAGTAGCTGGGATGACAAATGCCTGCCACCACCCCCGGCTAATTTTTGTACTTTTAGTAGAGACGGGTTTTGCCATGTTGGCCAGGCTGGTCTCCAACTCCCGGCCACCTCAGCCTCGCAAAGTGCCGGGATTACAGGTGTGAGCCACCACGCCTGGCTTGAAAGTAGCTTTCAATCAGACATGCCCAGTAGTGTCACAACCCCTTTCCATGGCAATGACCCAAAGACCCAAAAGTGACTACCTCTTCCCTAGAAATTCCTGAGGTCAGGAGTTCAAGGCCAGCCTGGCCAACATGGTGAAACCCTATCCCTAATAAAATACAAAAAAAAAAAAAAAAAAAAAAAGCCGGGTGTGTTGGCACACACCTGTAGTTCCAGCTACTGCAGGAGAATTGCTCGAACCCAGCAGGGGGAGGTTGCAGTGAGCCGAGATCCTGCCACTGCACTCTAGCCTGGGAGACAGAGTGAGACTCTCCCTCAAAAAAGAAAAAAAAAAAGAAATTTTGCATAAACTGTCCCCTTAATCTGCATCCAATGAAAAGTGAGTAAAAATCTGCCTACAAAACTGCTCTCAGGGGCTGCTCTCCGCCTCCAGGGAAGCCCTGCTCTGCAGAGGCAGTCACGGAGCTGTAACTGCTGCATCAATAAAGCTGTTTTCTTCTCCCTGTGGCTTGCCCTTGAATTCTTTCCTGGGCAAAGCCAAGAACCCAGTCAGCGGGTGAAGCCCCCCTTTGGGGCTCCCCTGCCCGGCATCATTACCATCGCTACGGTAACGGTGGGAGAAGCTGTCAGTTACCTGTTCAGGCCAAGGTAGCCGAGGACGCCCAGGAGAAGGATGCTCAGGAAGCTCCCCAGGGAGGCGAAGAAGATGAACCAATCAGAACCCTGCACTTCTGGGATGGGAGAGGGTAGGTTGGCAGAGGGGCACTTCCTGCCTCTTGCTCAGGGAGGGAGCTGGAGAGCCCGGTGTCTCCATGAACTGGCTGCTGACCCTGGCACAGTGTGCCATGGGCTTCTCAGTGGGTACCTCGGAACCCACCTGCCCGGTAGCTGTCAAGGAATAAAGTCCTGGCATGCAGGAAGTGTTCAAGACTCTAATTCCAGGCCGGTCACGGTGACTTGTGCCTGGAATCCCAGCACTTTGGGAGGCTGAGGCGGGCAGATCACCTGAGGTCAGGAGTTCCAGACCAGCCTGAACCAATATGGTGAAATCCAGGCTAATGCCCTTTTTGGCCTTAGCCCATCTGATCCCGGGTGAAAAAAAAAAAAAAAATTAAAAAAGAAAAAGTAACCTGTCCCTACTAAAAACACAAAAATCAGCCAGGCATGATGGATCATGCCTGTAATCCCAGCTACTCAGGAGGCTCAGACAAGAGAATTGCTTGAACCCGGGAGGCGGAGGCTGCAGTGAGCCGAGATCATGCCATTGCACTCCAGCCTGGGCAACAAGAGCAAGAATCTGTCTAAAAAAAAAAAAGGCTCTGTAATTCCAGGAGCCTGCCCACGGGGCACATGCGGCTGTCCCTGGACCCAGGCCTGCTGCCACACGCCAGCCCTGACCCTTTCGTTCTCTGGGATCTAGTTGGTTCTCTTGGAACTGAAAGGACACCGTGGCGTGAACAGGGATCATTTGATCTCTGAATCTCTTATGACCATGGACCCCAGACAACAGCACCTGTGTTGTCCTCCTCCTCCCCCTCCTCCCCCCCCTCCTCCCCCCCCTCCTCCGCCCCCTCCCCCCCCCCTCCCCCTCCTCCTCCCCCTCCTCCCCCTTCTCCCCCTCCCTCTCCTCTTCCTCTTCCTCCTTCTTCTCTCCCCTCTCCCTCCCCCCTCCTCCTCCTCCCCTCCTTCTCTTCTTCTTCTCTTCCTCTTCCTCTTCTTCTTCTTTCTTCTCTTTTTCTTCTATTTGTTTTTTGAGACAGAGTCTTGCTCTGTCGCCCAGGCCAGAGTGCAGTGGTTCGGTCACAGCTCACTGCATCCTTGAACTTCTGGGCTCAAGCCATCTTCCCACCTCAGCCTCCTGAGTAGCTGAGACTACAGGTGTGCGCCACCACACCCCGCTATTTTTTAAAATATTTTTTGTAGAGATGGAGTCTCACCATGTTGCCCAGGCTGGTCTTGAACTCCTGGGCTCAAGCAATCCTCCAGCCTCAGCCTCCCAAAGTGCTGGGACGACAGGCATGAGCCCCCTCGCTGGGCTTTGCCTGTGTCCTCCTTATTTTTGCATCGAGAGAGACATTCATTTACTTGTCGCTCAGTGAACAGATCCCTGTACCATTCTCCTCCTCAAGAGCCCCCAGATCCCTTGACACATCTACCCCCAACCCTGGGGCATCAGGCCAGGGAGGAGGAGCAGTTGTAGATGAGGGCGTGGCCAGAAGGAGGCAGAGAAGGCTGGCTGGAGGAGGGAGCTTTTGAGCTGAGTTTTGAAGGATGAATAGGAGTTTGACAGTGGGGAAAACAAGCATTCCAGGCAGGAGGGAGGGAAAGGCCTGCATGGGCAAGGCCCCGGGAGTGTAAGAGGAAGCTGTGAGAAGAGACAGTGGAGCAGGTGGAGCTGCTACTTTCTCCAGAGGGCAGTAGGGAGTCATGGGGGGAATGAGGGTGAGGGCAGGGCTGCTAAGATCATTAGGGGAAGCGCAGCGCAGTGCGTGCTGTGTGATAACTGGGCCCTGCCCCCTGCACTCACCGATGCTGAAGCGCTGGGGCTGGCTCCAGGCCCCCCTCAGCCACGCGGTGTCCGCTCGCACCTGCACCGTGTAGGCCACGCCAGCCCGCAGGCCGCGGAGGGTAACCTGGGTCTCTGTGGGCTGCACGGGCTGCTCTGCAGTGGAGGAGGCAGCCCTGAGTCCTGGGACCTGCATAGTCCTCAGAGGCCAGGCTGGGCTGCCACAGCCTGTGGGGGCGGGGCGCGGGTCCATGGGCATTTTGCTAAAATCTCTTCTCTCTTTTTTTTTTTTTGAGATGGAGCCTTGCTCTTGTTGCTCAGGCTGGAGTGCGGTGGCGCAATCTCGGCTCACTGCAACCTCCGCCTCCCGAGTTTAAGCTGTTCTCCTGCCTCGGCCTCCCTAGTAGCTGGGATTACAGGTGCAGGCCGCCACACCCAGCTAATTTTGTATCTTTCGTGCAGATGGGGTTTCACCTTGTTGGTCAGGCTGGTCTCGAACTCCCGACTTCAGGTGATCCGCCCACCTCAGCCTCCCAAAGCGCTGGGATCACAGGCGTGAGTCACCGCGACGACCAAAGTCTCTTCTCTTAATGCGCTCATTCATCTCAAGATTTTATTTTCTTTGAGACCCAGTCTCACCCTGTTGCCCAGGCTGGAGTGCAATGGCTCAACCTCGGCTCATTCCCAACTCCGCCTCCCAGGTTCAAGCAATTCTTGTGCCTCAGCCTCCACAGTAGCTGGGATTACAGGCACCCACCACCATGTCCGGCTAATGTTCGTATTTTTAATAGACATGGGGTTTCACCACGTTGGCCAGGCTGGTCTTGAACTCCTGGCCTCAAGTGATCCTCCCGCCTCGGCCTCCCAAAGTGCTGGGATTACAGGCGTGAGCCACCGTGCCTGACCGACTTCTTTGCTCTTTGGGCAGGTGGATCTGAGGTTGGAGGCGGGATTGGACTCTGGAGGTGGGTCTGGGATACAGGACGGAATTGAGGACTAGCTAAAACAGGTCCCGGGCTCTCCGTGAGACACAGCCACCAGTGTGCCACGTTGGTTTATCACTGCCATGGCAACACCCGGAAATTACCACCCCCGTCCATGGCAATGAACCCACAGCTCGGAAGGTACCACCCTCATCCTAGCTATTTCTGCATAAACCGCCCCTTCATTTGCATATAATTAAAAGCGGGTATAAATAGGACAAGGGGCAGGACTGCTGCTGCTGCTGCACATGGCCACTTCAGTGAGTTTCTGTCTAACACCACTGACTTGCCCGTGAACTCTTTCCCGGGCAAAGCCGAGAACCCTCCCAGCTAAAGCCCCTATCAGATATCAGATCCCCTCTCCACGCCTCGGTTTCCTCATCTGTGGAATGGACACAGTCATCCCTGCTTGATGGGAGTTGAGCTGCTGCTACATGTGAGAGACCGCCTCCCAAGGACAGACCCAACACATCACAAGCACTTGGCTGGTGCCCACCCAGCCGTCTCCAGGCTCTGCAAGGGGTGATCAAGACCCTCGAGTTCAGCTGGGCGTGGTGGCTCACGCCCGTAATCCCAGCACTTTGGGAAGCCAAAGTGGGTCACCTGAGGTCAAGAGTTCAAGACCAGCCTGGTCAACATGGTGAAACGCCATCTCTACTAAAAATACAACAATTAGCTGGGCATGGTGGTGGGTCCTGTAATCCCAGCTACTTGGGAGGCTGAGACAGGAGAATTGCTTGAACCCGGGAGGCAGAGGTTGCAGTAGCTGAGGTCGTGCCACTGTACTCCAGCCTGGGTGCCAGAGCCGGACTCTCTCTCAAAAAAAAGCACACACAAAACAAAACAAAAACAACCCAGCCCGGGCAATACAGCAAGCCCTCATTTCTACAGAAAACAGAACACTAACTGTGCATGGTGGTGTGCACCTGTGCTTCCAGCTATTAGGGAAGCTGAGGTGGAAGGATCGCTTGAGCCCAGGAGGTTGAGGCTGCAGTGAGCTATGATGGCATCACTGCAGTCCAGCCTGGCACAGAGCGAGTCCCTGTCTATAAATTTGGAATTAAAAAAAAGAAGACTCTCAAGTCCAATTCTCTTGTTTTAAGGGGAAGATAATCAAGGCCCAGAGAGGGTCGGTAAGGTGCCCAGGGTCACACAGCAAGGGGGATCTGAGGCCAGGATCCTCCCTTCCTCGCCCAGCCAGGCCTGCACTGCCTCACGTACCTGACACCTGGTTGCTGTCTTCATCTCGGCAGCGGATGACATACTGCTTCAGGACGCCGGGACAGGTGCTCAGCACGGATGGCTCCCAGTCCACAGACACCGAGTCCGAGCTGTGATTCTTCACCGAGACGTGGGGCGGCATCCCAGCCACTGAGGCTGCAACCAGTACCATTGTCACAGTCAGCGCCAAGGTGCCGGTGGAGGCTGGGCGCGGGGGCTCACGCCTGTCATCCCAGCACTTTGGGAGGCCGAGGCGGGCAGATCACTTAAGATCAGGAGTTTGAGGCCAGCATGGGCAACATGGTGAAACGCCATCTCTACTGAAAATACAAAAATTAGCTGGGCGTGGTGGTGGGCGCCTGTAATCCCAGCTACTTGGGAGGCAGAGGCAGGAGAATCACTTGAACCCAGGAGGCGGAGGTTGCAGTGAGCCGAGATCGCGCCATTGTACGCCAGCCTGGGTGACAGAGCTAGAGTCTGTCTCAAAAAAAAAAAAAAAAAAAAAAAAAGAGTACTGGTTGAGTACTTCCTGAATGCCCAGCCTCCCACTTGTCTAGAGAAGGGGGTAACACTGGCCACAGAGGCAGGTGGGCTGGGTTTGAATTCTGGTTCCACCATCCAGTCACTGTCACTTTCCTTCCCTGGGCTCAGTTTTCTTATCTATAAAATGGACCCTGCTGGCCGGGCGTGGTTGCTCACGCCTGTCATCCCAGCACTTTGGGAGGCTAAGTTGGGTAGATCACGAGGTCAAGAGTTCAAGACCAGCCTGCCGATGTGGTGAAAACCCGTCTCTACTAAAGATACAAAAAATTAGCCAGGCATGGTAGCGGGCTCCCGTAATCCCAGCTACTCGGGAGGCTGAGGCAGGAGAATCGTTTGAACCCGGCAGGCGGAGGTTGCAGTGAGCCGAGATCGCGCCATTGCATCCAGGCTCGGCGGGCGGGGCCCCCTCTCAAAAAAAAAAAAAAAAAAAAAAAAGTGGATAATGCTGTTTAGCCAGACAGTTGCCCATCCCTGTAATCCCAGCGCTGTGGGAGGTCGAGGCTGGTGGATCGCCAGGAGTTTAGGACCAGCCTGGGCAACATAGCGAGACCCTGTCTCTACAGAAAGAAAAACATTTGCCAACCATGGTGGCATGTGCCTGTAGCCCTAACTACTCAGGAGGCCAAGGTGGGAAGGCCACTTGTTACCAGGAGTTCGAGGCTGCAGTGAGCCACAATTGCACCACTGCATGCCAGCCTGGGCAACAGAGCAAGACTCTGTCTCCAAAAAAAGAAAACTATGAACAATCCCACTCAGAATGTCTTTGCCGCCCTGACTTCCACGTGTCCCGCCTGACGTGCAGTGGGTACCAGACGGCCAGGCGTGGTGCTCACGCCTGTCATCCCAGCACTTCGGGAGGCCGAGGTGGGAAGATTGCATTAGTCCACGAGTTTGAGACCGACTTGGGCAACACAGCGAGACCCTGTCTCTATTTCATTTTATTTATTTATTTTGAGATGAAGTCTCGCTCTGTCACCGAGGCTGGAGTGCAGTGGCGCGATCTCGGCTCACTGCAACCTCCGCCTCCTGGGTTCAAGCGATTCTTCTGCCTCAGCCTCCCTAGTAGCTGGGATTACAGGCTCCCGCCACTACACCCGGCTAATTTTTGTATTTTTAGTAGAGACGGGGTTTCGCCATGTTGGCCAGGTTGGTCTCAAACCCTTGACCTCAGGTGATTCACCCGCCTCGGCCTCCCAAAGTGCGGGGATGACAGGCGTAAGCCACCGTGCCCGGCCTTTATTTTTAAAAATTATTTAAAAAGAAAAAAAAGCGTAAACCTGTAGGTCTGGGCTACTTACCATTGCCTCCAAAGTGGTAGGCGGACAGAACTGTAGACCACAAGGTGAGCTTCTCTGGGCGCACAGAGGCCAAGACGGTAATGTAGTAACACTTTTCCTGCTCCATTGCCCCAAACTCTCGACTCCAGCTGTAGGTTGCTGGAAGAATAAAAAAAGGTCAAGCCATTCAGTAGATTGTGTTCCCATCTCTGCACCTTTGCATTGGCTGTGCCAGGAACCGCCCAGAAAACTCCTACTCATGCTTCAAAGCCCTTGCACCAATGTCCCCTCCTCCAGGATCTCTCCACTGTGCAACGCCCCTAACCCATCTCCATCCCCCTCTAACCCAGCCCTTAGTCCATGGAACCAGGGTTTGTTTTTTTTTTGGTTTTCTTTCGTTTTTTTTTTGAGACGGAGTCTTGCTCTGTCACCCAGGTTGGAGTGCACTGGGGCAATCTCAGCTCACTGCAACCTCCGCCTCCCGAGTAGCTGGGATTACAGGCACACGCCACCACGCCTGGCTAATTTTTATATTTTTAGTAGAGACAGGGTTTCTCCATGTTGGCCAGGCTGGTCTTGAACTCCTGACATCAGGTGATCTGCCCGCCTCAGCCTCCCAAAGTGCTGGGTTTACAGGTGTGAGCCACCGCGCCCAGTCAAAGGGCCAGGGGTTCTGTGTCCAGCTCTGTCTCCTCAGGCTGTGAATTTCTCAAGAAACAGCCTGACACTGAGGCTTCCAGGGACTCCGCCAGGCCCAGGGCAGGACGCAGGAGACTGAGAGGCCACTGGAGCCCCAGTCCCCCTTTCCCTAAAGACTCCTCATTAATTTGCCACCAGTATCTGTCGAACTGCCACCTTCCCTGGTGCGACTGAATGTTTAACCAACACCCTAGGATGTGAGATTCATTTTTTTTCTTTTATTTCCCCCCTTAATGACTTTCTTTTAACAGCAAGGACGTGAGATTCATTACCTGCAGGCATGAGACCTGCCCGGACCTGAGCCCAGATGCCAGCGGGAGTTACCAGACCCACATGGGTGAAAGGCTCCAAACCTCACCCTGTCCCTACCTCTGTGTGACCTCAAGTAAGCGGCAACACCTCTCTGGGCCTTAGACACCCGCTAGGTGCTTTCCTTGCAGGTCTGAACCCACCAGGAGCTAAAAGGGGGGGGCGCAGAGGCAGAGGTGGGCCCTGTACCCATTCCAGCCAGATCCGGGTCCTGCGGCGCAGTCAGGTTGCAGTTGGCAAGGCTCCCATGCTGGCCCACAGGCTGCCACTCGATGCAGTAGGTCGTGCTGTGAGCCCGGGCGGGCCAGTACAGGGTGGTCCCACTGGTTCCGACGCTGATGTTCAGAGCCCCTGGTTCTGGAAGGAGATGGGAGGGACCAATGGAGACAGTGGCCGCCCCTCTGCCTCCACAGCCTCTCTCTCACGGACTCGTCTATACTCTGACCCTGCAGGGCCAGGGGTGACTGTGTTTGGCTGTTTCCCTGCCCTGGAGGTTCCCTGGGGACCAGGCACAGAGTGGATGGCAGATGGTGTTTTTGTTTTTTCTTTCTTTTTTTTTTTTTTTTTTTCAGATGGAGTCTCGCTCTGTGGCCCAGGCTGGAGTGCAATGGCACGATCTCGGCTCACCGCAACCTCTGCCACCCAGGTTCAAGTGATTCTCCTGCCTCAGCCTCCTGAGTAACTGGGACTCCAGGCGCCTGCCACCACACCCAGCTAATTTTTTGTAGTTTTAGTAGAGACAGGGTTTCACTATCTCGGCCAGGCTGGTCTTGAACTCCTGACCTCATGATCCACCCTCCTCGGCCTCCCAAAGTGCTGGGATTACAGGCGTGAGCCACCACACCCAGCCTGTTTTTTTCCTTTTTCTTTGGAGATGGAGTCTTGCTCTGTCGCCCAGGCTAGAGCACAGTGGCACGATCTCAGCTCACTGCAACCCCCACCTCCCTGATTCCGACAATTCTCCTGCCTCAGCCTCCTGAGTAGCTGGGACTACAGGTTAATTATGTTTTTCTATTTTGGTGGAGACCGGGTTTCACTGTGTTGCCCAGGCTGGTCTTGAACTCCTGAACTCCAGTGATCCACCTGCCTTGGCTTCCTAAAGTTCTGGGATTACAGGTGTGAGCCACCACACCCAGTCAGCAGATGGTGTTTGAATGAGCTGAGTCCTCCTCCAGCCTAACTGCTGTCTCCCTGCCAGGATATTCACTGTGAGGCCTTCCTGTACTGCCATCACGCCCACCTGCAGCCTGGCGAGCGTCTCTGGCGGTGGCAGATACCTGGCCGCCCACCCGCTCGCCTTGCCTGGGCGGAGAGTGTGATGATCCAAGACCAGGCCCCCCTGGCCTGACCGGCCCCGCAGGTGGTCTCCTGCCAGACTCAGAAGCACGAGCACACGCCCACTCGGTCCCTGGGCAGATTTCTCCCACACCCTCTCGCCAGGGCGTCTGCACGAATGTTGGAGAGACGGGTACTGCTGGCAGTTCTGGGGATAGCAACCGCTGTTTGCTGAGTGCCCACTTCATGTGCCAAGCCAAGACTGAGAGCGTTTCGGGCACCACTTCACTATACTAGCGGACCAGGGTGGGGGCGGTGGCTCAAGCCTGTAATCCCAGCACTTTGGGAATCGGAGGCGGGTGGACGGCTTGAACCCAGGAGTTCCAGACCAGACTGGCCAACACAGGGAGACCCCTATCTCTACAAAAATAAAAATAAAAAATTAACCAGGTGTCGGGGTGCACGCCTGTAGTCCCAGCTACTCGGGAGGCTAAGGTGGGAGGATCTCTTGAGCCTGGGAGTTCAAGCCTGCAGTGAGCCATGATTGCACCACTGCACTCCAGTCTGCCAACAGACTGAGAACCTAGCTCAAAAATAGTAATAATAGTGGGCCGGGCGCGGTGGCTCACGCCTGTAACCCCAGCACTGTGGGAGGCCGAGGTGGGTGGATCACCTGAGGTCAGGAGTTTGAGACCAGCCTGGCCAACATGGTGAAACCCCGTCTCTACTAAAAATAGAAAAATTAGACCGGGTACGGTGGTGCACGCCTATAATCCCTACACTTTGGGAGGCCAAGGCAGATGAATCACTCGAGGTCAGGAGTTCGAGACCAGCCTGGCCAACATGGTGAAACCCCATCTTCACTAAAAATGCAACATTAGCCGGGCGTGGTGGCGCATGTAGTCCCAGCTTCTTGGGAGGGTGAGGCAGGAGAACTGCTCGAACCTGGGAGGTGGAGGTTGCAGTGAGCTGAGATCGTGCCACGGCACTCTAGCCTGACGGAGTGAGACTCCATCACAAGAAAGAAAGAAAAAAGACCTTAAATAAAGACACGGTTACCTCTAGCCTTTTTTTTTTTTTTTTGAGACAGAGTGTAGCTCTATCACCAGGTTGGAGTACAGGGGCGCGATCTCGGTTCCCTGCCATCTCTGCCTTCCTCGTTCAAGCCGTCTTCCCACCTCAGCCTCCCAAGTAGCTGGGACTACTGGTGTGCGCCACCATGTCTGGCTAATTCTTTTAAAAAGATTTTTAAGCTGGGCACGGTGACTCACGCCTGTAATCCCAGCACTTTGGGAGGCCAAGGTGGGCAGATCACGAGGTCAACAGATCGAGACCATCCTGGCCAACATGGTGAAACCCCGTCTCTATTAAAATACAAAAATTAGCTGGGCGTGGTGGCGCGTGTCTGTAGTCCCAGCTACTCGGGAGGCTGAGGCAGGAGAATTGCCTGAACCCAGGAGGCGGAGGATGCGGTGAGCCGAGATCGCGCCACTGCACTCCAGCCTGGTGCCTGGCGATAGAGCAAGACTCCCTCTCAAAAAAAAAAAAAAGGTTTTTAAGAGAGGGTCTCATTCTGTTAGCCAGGGTGAGTGCAGTGGCGCAGCTAGTTTTCTTTTGGTTTTGTTTTTTTTTTCAATATCGCATGCTATCCAGGCATGATGGCGCATGTCTATACTCCCAGCTATTCGGGAAGCTGAGGGAGAAAGATTGCCTGAGCCCAGAGGTTCAAGTCCAGCCTGGGTAACATAGCTAAGCAATGTCTCAAAAACAAACAAAACTGCATGATGGATCCTGATTACTGCTTTTTTTTTTTTTTTGAGACAGAGTTTCAACTTTTGTCCCCCAGGCTGAAGTGCAGTGGCATAGTCTCGGCTCACTGCAACCTACGGCTCCCGGGTTCAAGCGATTCTCCTGCCTCAGCCTCCTGAGTAGCTGGGACTACAGGCACGCGCCACCATGCCCAGCTAATTTTTGTATTTTTAGTAGAGACTGGGTTTCACCACGTTGGCCAGACTGGTCTTGAACTCCTGACCTTGGGTGAGCCTCCCACCTTGGCCTCCCAAAGTGCTGGGATCACAGGCGTGAGCCACTGTACCCGGCCCACTACTGAATTTTTGACACACCCCTAAAATTAGGCACTCTCTTAAAATTTCCCACCTCACTCATCTCATTCTGGTCTAGCTGAGGCTCAGAGTAGGTGCTCTGGGGGACCCTCATGCCGCCCCCCCCACCCAGAGGAGGCACCTGTGTGGGTGTCAGCAGGAATGTGCCACGTCTGGTTCAGGCCAGGACCAAATCGGTTCCAGGAGGTGACAGTCACGTTGTAGGCAGCACCCGAGAGATTGAGCGTTTTCCCCAGGTGCACGGTCCTGGTGGCCTTGGCCTTACACAGGCAGGACAGCATGTGGAGGCGCACACGGTAGGTGACCTCCGCGCCAGACGCCGGCCCTCGACAGCCTTCTGGAAGCTCCAGCTGGGTTGGCTGTCGTGGGTATGAAAGACAGCTCGTGGGGACCTCATCACACTCAGCATCCCACGGGCAGACAGCAGGACACAGCCTATGAGGACAGACTTGGCCAAAGGCCACAGCCAATAACATCCGTGAAAAATTAAAAAAAATAATACACCTCAGTGCTGGCAAAGCTGCTGTGAAACAGGCATTCACCGCCAGCACACATCTCGCTGGGAAGAGGGAGGAATTGACAAAACCTGCTGAGACTCAGGAAAACAAAAATGTTTCCGTCTTTTTTTTTTTTTTTTTTGGAGACGGAGTTTCACTCACGTTACCCAGGCTGGAGTGCAATGGCGTGATCTCGGCTCACTGCAACCTCCGCCTCCTGGGTTCAGGCAATTCTCCTGCCTCAGCCTCCTGAGTAGCTGGGATTACAGGCACGCGCCACCATGCCCAGCTAATTTTTTTGTAGTTTTAGTAGAGACGGGGTTTCACCGTTTTGACCAGGATGGTCTCGATCTCTTGACCTCGTGATCCACCCGCCTCGGCCTCCCAAAGTGCTGGGATTACAGGCGTGAGCCACCGCGCCCGGCCTAATGTTTCCGTCTTTTAACCCAGTTACCTCAAGCCAGAAAATTTTTCCTTAGAAAAGGAATTTGAGTTCAAGGAACATAAGAAGTAAAGGATTTTTGCTACAGCCTTACAGCAACGGCCAATTAGGGAGCTGGCTAAGATGATGTGGTACAGCCAACAAGTGGAATATTTGTCAGTTTTGTCTCAACAGAGATCATCCCTCTGTGACTCAGTTTCCCTCTCTGTAAAATGGGGCTAATCAGACTGCATTTAATGTGTTGTTTTGGGACTTAAAGCAATAATCTGCTACCCGGGCAGATGCATCACCATTATCTCCTTCTGGCTTTCTGGCTTCTGTGCAATTTCCCCACAGTCTGTTTCTCACACAGGGGCCAGAGAAAACCTGTGAACATCTGAGTCCAATTATGTCCCTCCCCTGCTCACACACATTCCATGGCTCCCTATTGCCTTCAGAATGAAACCCACAGTCTGCCCACTTCCTGCCGTCTCTACGTCTCGTCTCCCTCCGTCTCTCACTTGCTCATCCCCCTCCAGCCTTCTACCTCCTGCTCCCCATTCCAGGCCAGCCCACAGCCCTGTCACAGCCCCGTTACCTGCTCTTTGAGGGTCAGCCGCCTCCTGCCATCCCGGCCCAGCTGCTCCACCGAGAACCTCACCTGAGGTGGTGGGGGGTTTTCTGCATCAGAACAAAACCAACCACACAAATTGAAAGTAGAGAAAGAGACCAGACGTGGTGGCTCACGCCTGTCATCCAAGCACTTTGGAGGCCAAGGCGGGTGGATCACCTGAGGTCGGGAGTTCAAGACCAGCCTGACCAACATGGTGAAACCCTGTCTTTAAAAAAAAAAAAAAAAAGAAGAAGAAGAAAGAAGAAAAAGACTGATGGATGTTTTGTTTGTAAATAATGGATTCTCCACATTCACAAAGTGAAAATCCCTCGCTTCCCCAAATGCAGAAAAGAGAACTGGAGAAAGAAAAATTAACACCATTTGCGTCCCCGGGGATAACTGCCACCTGTAATTTCATGTTGCCTGCTTTTCTGGGAGAGGGTGGTGGTGCAGAGTTTCACTCTATCACCCAGGATAGAGTGCAGTTGTGCCATCCTGGCTCCCTGCAACCTCAGCCTCCTGGGTTCAAGCGATTCTCCTGCCTCAGCCTCCCAAGTAGCTCACACCACACCTAGGTGTAGTGCTAGGATTACAGGCATCAGCCACCGCGCCCAGCCCCCTTTTATTTTATATTTTAGAGATGGGGTCTCACTGTGTTGCCCAGGCTGGTCTAAAATCACTGGCCTAGAGTGATCCTCCTGCCTCAGCCTCCTGAGCAGCTGGAACTACAGGGGTGCACCACCACCTCCGGCCGTGGCCTTATTTCTAACGCCTGCCCCTGTCCCCATGGCCCGGATGGATCTTACTGGGGGGAATGCACACAGGGCTGCTCCACTTGCTCCACAGACTTCGCTGGTTCTCCCAGTGCCGTCGTCGGAGCTGGAATTCCTGGGCCACATTCATCTCCAGGGGGCAGAGGCAGGACTCTGGGGAGAGGCAGGTTGAACATCAGGCTGTAAGAATTGTCCGGCACTGGGCCGGGCACAGTGGCTCAGGCCTGTAATCCCAACACTTTGGGAGGCTGAGGCAGGTGGATCACGAGGTCAGGAGTTCAAGACCAGCCTGGTCAATGTAGTGAAACCCCGTCTCTACTAAAAATACAAAAATTAGCCGGGTGCGCTGGCAGCCTGTAATCCCGGCCACTTGGGAGGCTGAGGCAGGAGAATCGCTTGAGCTGGGGAGGCGGAGGTTGCGGTGAGCTGAGATCGCACCAGTGCACTCCGGCCTGGGCAACAAAAGTGAAACTCCACCTCAAAGAAAAAAAAAAGAATTGTCTAGGACTTGGTACCAGTCACTTAGCCATCATGCACTTATTGAACCCCAACTGTGTATAGAGCCACGTGCTGGGCCCCGGGGGCTCAGAAGGACAGGCCAGGCCCTGTCTTCTTATGGCTTTCGAGATCACCCACATCCATCCCTGCCCTGAATTCAAGTCCTGGCCATGGCCATCCCTGGGGTCATGACCTTGGCCAAAGGCTTCTCACCCTCTCCAAGGCTTTTTTTTTTTTTTTGAGACAGAGTTTCGCTCTTGCTGTCCAGGCTGGAGTGCAGTGGCGTGATCTCAGCTCACCACAACCTCCGCCTCCTGGGTTCAAGCCATTCTCCTGCCTCAGCCTCCCCAGTAGCTGGGATTACAGGCACCCACCATCACGCCAGGCTAATTTTGTATTTTTAGTAGAGACGGGATTTCTCCATGTTGGTCAGGCTGGTCTCGAACTCACGACCTCAGATGATCCGCCCGCCTCAGCCTCCCAAAGTGCTGGGATGACAGTGTGAGCCACTTGTTTCCCCACCTGCAAAATGGGAGTAATCCAATACTGAACTGTGGGGCAGGGCAAGAGGCACACAAATGGCCGGGCGCGGTGGCTCAAGCCTGTAATCCCAGCACTGTGGGAGGCCGAGGCGGGTGGATCACGAGGTCAAGAGATCGAGACCATCCTGGTCAACATGGTGAAACCCCATCTCTACTAAAACTACAAAAAATCAGCTGGGCATGGTGGCGCGTGCCTGTAATCCCAGCTACTCAGGAGGCTGAGGCAGGAGAATTGCTTGAACCCAGGAGGCGGAGGTTGCGGTGAGCCGAGATCGCGCCATTGCACTCCAGCCTGGGTAACAAGAGCGAAACTCCATCTCAAAAAAAAAAAAAAAAAAAAGAGGCACACAAATAACTCAGCATTGGGCCTGGCATACAGTAGGCGCTCAATTAATGCCAACTTGCTGCAGCTGCTGCTGTCATTGCTATTGTTATTCTCACCAGTATCGCCATCTTGAGGTCCGCAGTCACCCTAGAAGAAGAATGTATACACATATTGTTTTGCATTTTGGTGCTAAAAAATATTTACTGTTTTACAATTATTTATTTAAAATTATGTACTTATTTATCTGAGACAGGGTCTCACGCTGTCATCTAGGCTGGAGTGCAGTGGTGCAATCACAGCTCATTGAAGCCTCAGCCTCCCAGGGATCAGGTGATCCTCCCACCTCAGCCTCCCGGGTAGCTGGGACCACAGACGTGCACCATCACACTCAGCTAATTTTTGCATTTTTGGTAGAGACGGGGTTTCACCGTGTTGCTCACGCTGGTTTCAAACTCCTGGCCTCAAGTGATCCACTCCACCTTGGCCTCCCAAAGTGCTGGGATTACAGATGTGAGCCATCACACCTGGCCACGGTCTTTTTTTTTTTTAAATAATTTTTTTTGGGGGCCAGGCGTGGTGGCTCACGCCTATAATCCCAGCACTTTGGGAGGCCGAGGCGGGCGGATCACCTGAGGTTAGGAGTTCAAGACCAGCCTGGCCAACATGGTGAAACCCCGTCCTTGAAAAATAAAAATAAAAAAGTAAAAAATAAAAAAGTAAAAGAAAAAAAGTTTTTTAATTAAAAAAATAAGGCCAGGCATGGTGGCTCACGCCTATAATCCCAGCACTTTGGGTGGCCGAAGTGGGCAGATCATGAGGTCAGGAGATCTAGACCATCTTGGCTAATACGGTGAAACCCCATCTCTACTAAAAATACAAAAAGTATCTGGGTGTGGTGGCGTGTACCTGTAGTCCCAGCTACTCGGGAGGCTGAGGCAGGAGAATTGCTTGAACCTGGGAGGCAGAGGTTGCAGTGAGCTGAGATCGCGCCATTGCACTCCAGCCTGGGTGACAGAGTAAGACTCCATCTAGGAAAAAAAAAAAATCTCAGGGGCTAGCGTGGGGGCTGGTTGGGAGGAGAGACAGACGCAGAGATGGTGAGACTGATCTGGGGATGCAGGTGCCCTGGAGACGCCCGTGCCCACCATGGACTTGGGAAACAAACTCACCAACTTCCACGGGCTGCTGTGTGTCCGGTGCCGGAACTGCACCTCGGCACGAACCTGCTTGTCTGGGGTCTCCCACTCCAGACGCAGCTGCCCGGCCGACTTGGACACCCTGATGTCTCCCAGAGGAGGCTCGTATCTAACTGGAAGCAGAGGTGGGGATTGGCGACTGGCAGCCCACACGTATGAGAATTAATGGCCCTGAAAATCCACCCAGCCCAGGGTAAGCAACTGAGTCCCTAAATATGAACTGGGGGACACCCTGAGGGTCCCAGATAAGCCTGGAATTCTATGATTCAAAAAGTCAGGATTTGTACCCAAGCCACACACGGTGGCTCACTCTGTAATTCCAGTATTTTGGGAGGCCAAGGCAGGAAGTTTGCTTGAGCCCAGGAGTTCGAGACCAGCCTGGGCAACATAGCGAGACCCCTCTCCCCCTCAATGTCTACATAGAAATTAGCTTGGCCTGGTACTTGATGACTGGTTCCAGCTACTGGGGAGACTGAGGTGGGAGGACCACGTGATCCTAGGAGGTCAAGGCTGAAGTGAGCCCTAGTCGCACCATGCGCTCCAGTCTAGGAGACAGAGGGAGAGCTTGTCTCTAAAAACAAAAATAAGGCTGGGTGTGGTGGCTCACGCCTGTAATCCCAGCACTTTGGGAAGCCGAGGCAGGTGGACCACCTGAGGTCAGGAGTTCGAGACCAGCCTGGTCAACATGGTGAAAGCTTGTGTCTACTAAAAATACAAAAATTAGCCGGGCATGGTGGTGGATGCCTGTCATCCCAGCTACTTGGAAGGCTGAGGCAGGAGAATGGCTTGAACCTGGGAGGCGGAGGTTGCAGAGAGCCGAGGTCGTGCCACTGCACTCCAGCCTGGGTGACAGAGCGAGACTCCATGGCTGTGCAATGGCGTGATCCCAGCTCACTGCAACCTCTGCCCCCCAGGTTCAAGCCATTCTGCTGTCTCAGCCTCCCAGGTAGCTGGGATGACAGATGCACGCCACCATGCCAGGCTAATTTGGTATTTTTAGTAGAGACAGGGTTTCTCCATGTTGGTCAGTCTGGTCTTGAACTCCCAAGCTCAGGTGATCCACCCGCCTCAGCCTCCCAAAGTGCTGGGATTATAGGCGTGAGCCACCGCCCCCGGCCAATAAATAATTTTTTAATAAAGATTCATACACAGGATCCTGCTAGTGAAGATATTTTTTAAATATTAACACCGATTGTTGGCAGGGCTCTGATGGGACAGGCACTTTTGTAAATTGCTTGCCGGAGAATAATTGATTTTTTTTTAGAACTATTAGGGAAATCTTAGTTTTTAGATCAATTTCAAGGAAACTGACCTAAGGAGAGACATAAATTAGCATAAATTAGTCTTGCTGCACCGTGGTCATACCCTGCCTGATTCTTTTTCATATCATTATATTTTTTTTTTATAGAGACAGGATCTCCCTATGTTGCCCAGGCTGGAGTGCAGTGGCTATTCACAGGTGCGATCCCACGACTGATCAGCACGGGAGTTTTGACCTGCTCTGTTTCTGACCTGGGCCAGTTCACCCCTCCTTAGGCAACCTGGTGATCTCCCGCTCCCGGGAGGTCACCATATTGATGTTGAACTTAGTGCGGACACCCGATCGGCATAGCGCACTACAGCCCAGAACTCCTGGGCTCAAGCGATCCTCCCACTTCAGCCTCCCAAGTAGCTGGGACTACAGGCACGTGCCACTGTGCCCAGCTATATCATCGTATAAATTTAAGAGGTAAGATGGTTTGATATACATGTCCATAGTGAAATGATTACTATAGTAAGCAATTTAACATATCCATGGCCAGGCACAGTGACCCATGCCTGTACTCCCAGCACTTTGAGAGGCCAAGACAGGAGGATCTTTTGAGTCCAGGAGTTTGAGACCAGCCTGGCCAACATGACAAGACCTCATCTCTTTAAAAAAAAAAAAAAAATATATATATATATATACACACACACACACACATAATATATTATATATTCATCACCTTCCATAGTTACTTTATTGGTATGTGATAAGAACACCTAAAATCTATTCTTTTTTTTTTTTTTTTTTTTATGAGACAGAGTCTTGCTCTGTAGTCCAGGCTGGAGTGCAGTGGCTCGACCTTGGCTCACTGCAACCTCCACTCCACCAGGTTCAAGCAAATCTCCTGCCTCAGCCTCTTGAATAGCTGGGATTACAGACACCCACCACCATGCCTGGCTAATTTTTGTATTTTTAGTAGATGGGGTTTTGCCATGTTGGCCAGACTGGTCTCGAACTCCTGACCTCAGGTGATCCACTTGCCTTGGCCTCCCGAAGTGTTAGGATTACAGGTGTGAGCCACCACACCCAGCCCTAAAATCTATTCTTTTTGCAAATTTTCAATATACAATGCAATTTTTTTTTTTTTTTTTGAGGCAGAGTCTCACTCTGTTGCCCAGGCTGGAGTGCAGTGGCTCGATCTCGGCTCACTGCAACCTCTGCCTCCCGGGTTCAAGTGATTCTCCTGCCTCAGCCTCCTGAGTAGGTGGGATTACAGGCGCATGCCACCCCAACCGGCTAATTTTTTGTATTTTTAGTAGAGATGGGGTTTCACTGTGTTAACCAGGATAGTTTTGATCTCCTGACCTCGTGATCCACCCGCCTCGGCCTCCCAAAGTGCTGGGATTACAGGCGTGAGCCACCGCGCCTGGCCAAATACATGATGTTGAGTCATGAGAACGGATATTAAGAACCCAGTCAGGTCCTGGTGGCATTACGGATAGCAGACACCGGAAGCAACCTAAGTGCCCAGTAATAGGGGTTTAGTCGGGGGGCATTAAAAGACTGCTTTGTCACAGTAGTGTTTGTGTGACACTACATGAAGTGACAATGGCTAGTGGCCTCATAGTATCAAGTCCCTTGCCGGGGCCCAGAATCCCCTCCAGCTCCAGCTTCGCAGCCTGATGGCCTCTCTGAGTGAAAAAAGGACGGGGAGGAGAACGAGGTGCTGACCTGAGTTGTAGAGCTGCAGGGTCACATTAGTAGACTTCTCTGTCTGGTTCCTGGCCCGGGATTCCACCCAGAGTGTAACGGTGCAGAGCACAGGCACCCTGGCCTGGTCGGAGAAACGTAGCCGGGTGGCTGAGCCTGCGGCAAAGTAGCAACAGCGCCCAGAGCTAAGGCTGCAGCAGTAAAGAGGGTGTTAGTACCGAGTCTGGGGTCCTAGTGGACCCCACAGCCGACTTTTTTTTTAATTTTTTTTTTATCACATCCCAGCATCTTTTATTTTTATTTTTATTTTTATTTTATTTTTTTTTTGGAGATGGAGTCTCTTTCTGCCACTCAGGCTGGAGTGCAGTGGCCCGATCTCGGCTCACTGCAACCTCCACCTCCCGGGTTCAAGCAATTTTCCCATCTCAGCCTCCCTAGTAGCTGGGATTACAGGCTTACACCATCACATCTGGCTAAGTTTTCTATTTTTAGTAGAGACAGGGTCTCACCATGTTGGCCAGGCTGGTCTCTAATTCCTGGCCTCAAGTGATCCGCCCGCCTCAGCCTCCCAAAGTGCTGGGATTCCAGGCGTGAGCCACCACGCTCAGCATCCTTTTCTGCCCCTCATCTTTTTCTGCCACCTGTACACCTCCTCCCCTAGCCTAGGGTTCCTTGGAGATCAGTCTGGGACTGAAGGGGTTTGAGGGACCCCAGTATCTCCCAGCACGGACTGCGCCATGAGAGAAGAAATAAATGAAACGGCTGGGCGCGGTGGCTCACGCCTGGAATCCCAGCCCTTTGGGAGGCCAAGGCGGGCGGATCATTTGAGGCCAGGAGTTAGAGACCAGCCTGGCCAATATGGCGAGACACTGTTTCTACTAAAAATACAAAAATTAGCCAGCACAGTGGCGTGAGCCTGTATATCCAGCTACTCAGGAGGCTGAGGCAGGAGAATCACTTGAACCCAGAAGGCACAGGTTGCAGTGAGCTGAGATTGCACCACTGCACTCTAGCCTGGACAACAGCACAAGACTCCGTCTCAAAAAAAGAAAAAAATGAATGGATGGATGGGTGGATGGATAGATGGACGGATGGGTGGATGGGTGATGGGTGGATGGATGGATGGATGGATGGATAGGTGGATGGGTGATGGGTGAGTGGATGGATGGATGGATGGGTGGGTGGATGGATGGATGAATGATGGATGGATGGATGGGTGATGGGTGGATGGATGGATGAATGATGGATGGATGGATGGATGGGTGATGGGTGGATGGATGGATGGATGGCTCGCTGGATGGATGGATAGGTGGATGGGTGATGGGTGGATGTATGGATGGATGGATGAATGGATGAATGAATGGACAAGTGAAAGGGTGGAGAAGAAAGGAGGACTTGAAAGGCCCTCATGGTCACCCACCTGGGATGCCTACCCTCACTGAGCACCCCCCCAACAATCCTCGAACCCTCTCTTCTTAGATGAGAGATGGAAGTCTGGGAAGGAGGGATGAGCCAGCCAATATCACGAATCTGAAAGCAGGGGCACCAGGGCGGGCTGGAGCAAGAGTCGGGTGGTGGCTGAGGGTTTGGGAATGGAAGAGGGGTCCTCACCAGCACCTCAGGAAGTGGCTGACCCCAGCCGTGGGACCCTCATACTGCCAGGAGCACTCATAACCAGCGCTGGGTATCCGATAGCAGCTCAGGTTCCTGGGGCCGGAGGCTGAGCCTGGAAGAGATCCTGTCGGCTTCAGAACAGACCAGAGTCTGGAGGGGTCTTTGTTGCTAGGACAAATCTTGGTGATGCTTACATCTTTCAGCGTCACCTCGTCCTAAACCCTCCCTGCGTCCTTCCCACCTCATCTCCTGCCATCTCTTCCCTCAACCTATTCCAAATCCTAGGCTATGACCTTGGGAGGTCAGCTGAGCTCAGGGCTAGGTCCCTATGTCTAGAACTGTGTCTGCACGTAGTAGGTGCTCAGTAAATCACTATCAAACAAAATAATGAACAGTGTGTCTGGTCAGTGTCAGACCCTTTGCATGGTGCATTATGAGCATAAAGTTCCAACAGTAAGGCCGGGCACGGTGGCTCGCGCCTGGAACCCCAGCACCTTGGGAGGCTGAGGTGGGCGGATCACTTGAGGTCAGGAGTTCGAGATCAGCCTGACCAACATGGTGAAACCCCGTCTCTACTAAAAATACAAACATTAGCCGGACATGGTGGTGGGTGCCTGTAATCCCAGCTACTCGGGAGGCTGAGGCCGGAGAATGGCTTGAACCCAGAGAATGGCTTGAACCCAGGAGGCAGAGGTTGCCGTGAGCTGAGACCATACCACTGCACTCCAGCCTGGGCGGCAGAGCAAGACTCTGCCTCAAAAATAAATAAATAAAATAAATGTTCCAATAATTTATTGGGTTATGCTTATAACAGGTACTTTTCCCAATGTACTGACCAGTCCGAACAGACACAGACACCAGCCCTGAGACCATGCTAGGGAAGGGATGAGGTTCAGAGAGGCTGCTGGCTGCCCCAGGACACCCTGAACCTGGTGAGAATGGGCCAGCAGGGGGTGGGGTGGGGGCTCCCAACACTATAGTCGAGGCTGGGTCTGTGGCTGGGTGGAGAAGGCCGAGGGAGGGGCTGCTGTGGATGGGGTCAGGCAGAGCCCTGCATAATCCTCAGCGAACCACAAGGAGCTGCCCCGAACCTGAGTCTGCATCGGGATACGGCGGGTCTTGAAAACAGCATTCGCTGGTTCTGCAGGCAGCTGCAAAGGCAGTGAAGACATAATGACATCCCGGCCTTGCACTGTGTGGGGGGAAGGCTCGACCTGGGGGTCTACACCCAAGTGATCATCAGCCCTCTCCCCCACCGACCTTCCCACCTATGCACCCACCACCACTGCCCGTCCATCCATGTATTTATTCATCCATCCGCCATCTACCCATCCATCCATCCATCCATAAATTCATCCATTCACCCATCCATTCATCCATGTATTCATCCACCCCACCATCCACCCATCCACCCATCTACACATCCATTCATGTATTCATTAATCCATCCATCTGCTCATCCCACGTATTCCTCCATCCATCCATGAATTCATCCACCCATCCACCCATCTACCCATCCATCCATCCATCCATCCACCCATCTATCCATCCATCCATCCATCCATCCATCCATCCACCCATCTACCCATCCATCTATTCAACCATCCATGTATCCATTCATCCATCCACCCATCTATCTGTCCATCCATCCATCCCACCATTCACCCATTCATCCATCCATCCATGTATTCATTAATCTATCCATCCATCCATGAAGTCATCCACCTATCCATGTATTCATTAATCCACCCATCCATCTATGGGTTCATTCATGAATTCATCCATCCATCCATGCATTCATTCATCTATCATCCATTCACCCACCCATCTACTCACCAGTCTATCCATCCACACATCCATGTATTCATTCATCCATTCATTCATAGACGCACCCACCCATCCATTTATCTACCTACCGATATATCCATCCAGCCACACATTCATCCATCCATCCATTCGTCCATCCATTCATCCACCTGTGTATTTATTCATTCCTCCATCCATTCATTTATTCACCCATCCACCTGTCTATCCATTCATCCACCACCCACTAGTCCTCAGAGGTTGAGATGCATATTGGGGAGACACTGTCAGGAGGTCCCCCCAGCAAGAAAAAACAGTGGATCCACAGTCTGGAGGGCAGGGAGAAGTAGGGTGTGCCTGGATTGGCGTCAGTGTCTGAAGCCGGCATGGGGAGAGACAGTCGAGGCTGCATGGCAGGGAGGGGCCTGCCAGGGCTGGCCCAGGCAAGTACACTGGCCCAACAGCAGTCACGGCAATCATCAATAACCTTTCCCCAGGAGGCAGCGACCTCCCTCAGCCACCCCGTGCCCTTTGGGAGTGCCACTGTGTGCCAGGTGTGGAACTGGGTGACAGGGGGAGGGGGATGCCACTATGGATGGGGTCAGGAAGAGCATGACACCCCCATCGCCACAAGAAGGACCTGCCCTGAGACCCGCAGGCAGATCAGAAGCCTTGAGGGAGAAGGCGACACCCCAGGAAACAGCCCTAGGGGTCCGACCTTGGGGGAGGAAGGGCGCTTAACACACAGGGCTCTCCATCCTTCCATCACTCTGATGAAACAGAACCCCCCCCGACCCACCCCTGACAGCCTAAAGCCCATCTTCCTTCCCTCCCCCTGAACTGACCACTCACTGTCACATCGCCAAGCCACCTCGTGGGCTGCCCCCGGCCCCCTCCCCGCTGCTGGTCTCCAGCCATGCCTGGCCCTTGAAGACGCTGGGGCCTTGAGGTGTGGCCAGCCCTGCTGTGGGCACTCTACAGGCTCTCAGTGCATCTCCAGAGCCAGTGAAACAGTCAGCACCCCACTAATCCCCAATGTACAGAGAAGGAAAGTTTATATAATATCATTATTGTTGTTGAGATGGAGCCTTGCTCTGCCACGCAGGCTGGAGTGCAGTGGCGCGATCTCGGCTCACTGCAACCTCTGCCTCTCAGGTTCAAGTGATTCTCCTATACCTCAGCCTCCCGAGTAGCTGGGACTACACGTGTGCGCCACCACACCTGACTAATTTTTGTATTTTTAGTAGAGATGGGATTTCACCATGTTGGCCCAGCCTAGTCTTGATCTCTTGACCTTGTGATCTGCCTGCCTTGGGTACTGGGATTACAGGCGTGAGCCACAGCGCCCAGCCTCAAAAATTCTCTATTTGGTCAGGAAGCAGAGTTGGACCACAGCCCAACTTCATGACTGTCTGTCCAGTACTCTTTCCATCACCCGAGACAGCCTCCCATTTACATGGCCTCTGATGCTGGGGCCCCCTGCCTGGGCTGCCCCAGGAGAACTCCAAAGATCGCTCTGTTAGCTGCCACCTATGCTTCTCAACCGATGTCCGGGAATTAGGCTGCGGTCAGAGGATTTACCCCTATCTTATCCTAGCATGAACTGAGGCCCAGCCAGACAGTGCCCAAACCTAGCATGACAGCCTCTATGTGGGACACCCACCGATGCCCAGTGTAAGAGCCCACTAGTCCGGAGCTGAATCCCCCACCCCCCAGGCTCAAAGTTCTGGTCCCAGCCTCTTATTCCCCACCCCTTGCCCCAAGTACTCACCCCTGAGAGGCTCCTGGGGGCAGGTCCTGGCTGTGGAAGCCTCTCCTGTTGGTCAAGGAGAAGGGAGTGAGTCTTTGGGGATGGGCCATGCACTCCGCAGGGCATTCTCAGTGGTATGCCCAGGCCCTGGCACAGGGTGGCTGTCAAGGCATTCCGGGTGAATGGACAAGTGTGCTTCCTGAATAGCTGGGATTACAGGCATGAGTCACCATGCCCAGCTAATTTTTGCTTTTTTTTTTTTTTTTTTGAGACGGAGTTTCGCTCTTGTTACCCAGGCTGGAGTGCAATGGCGTGATCTCGGCTCACCACAACCTCTGCCTCCTGGGTTCAGGCAATTCTCCTGCCTCAGCCTCCTGAGTAGCTGGGATTACAGGCACACGCCACCATGCCCAGCTAATTTTTTGTATTTTTAGTAGAGACAGGGTTTCACCATGTTGACCAGGATGGTCTCGATCTCTTGACCTCGTGATCCACCTGCCTTGGCCTCCCAAAGTACTGGGATTACAGGCGTGAGCCACCACGCCCAGCCAATTTTTGCATTTTTAATAGACACAGGGTTTCACTATGTTGGCCAGGCTGGCCTTGAACTCCTGACCTCGAGTGATCCACCTGTCTTGGCCTCTCATAGTGCTGGATTTACAGGAGTGAGCCACTGCACTGGGCCTGAGATGATTTAAAGTATCTGGCAAGGCCAGGCGCGGTGGCTCACACCTGTAATCTCAGCACTTTGTGAGGCTGAGATAGGTGGATCATTTGACCCCAGGAGTTCGAGACCAGCCTGGGCAACACAGTGAGACCCTGTCTCCGCAAAAAGTACATGCCAAAAAAAAAAATTAAACAGGCATGGTGGTGTGCACCTGCAGTCCCGGCTACCCAAGGGGCTAACGCAGGAGGATCGATTGAGCCCAGGTGGTCAAGGCTGTGGTGAGCTATGATCAGACCACTGGATTCCAGCCTGGTGAAAGAGTGAGACCCTGTCTCAGTAAATAAATAAAGTATACAGAAGGATGCATGTAGGTTATATGCAAATACTTTACCATCAGGAACTTGAACATCCTTGGATTATCTGCAGAGGGTCCTGGAACCATTGCCCCATAGATACGGGGAGAGCTGACTGCATACACTATATTATGTATGTCTATCTCTTCTAAACTACATATATAAGATACTAGCCTATGTATACCTACTAGATACATACTTGCTTTTTATTCCTTCCTTGGTTTCTTTTCTCATTTAACTGGGAGAGGTGGAAAAGATTTAGTGAATTTCACAGAACAGAAAATCAAGACCTAGTGAATTTCACAGAGGAATCAAGACCTCGTGAATTTCACAGAAGAGAAAATCAAGACCAGAGGAAAGATATCCAAGTTTGATCCCAGAAGCCATGGCTGCCCATCTCCCGTGTGACAGCAGGAAAGACTGAGGCACAGAGAGATGAAACCAACCCACAGAGCAGGCCCACAGCTCCCCCCACACACATGCGCCTCCCCCCAGCAAGAGGAGCCGCCATGCCAGGGTGGGGGGACTCACCGCCCTGCTTGGACAGCAGGAGGAGGAGGAGGAGGAGCGGGACCCCCCAGGTCCCCAGCGGCCCCATCGGATCCACGTGGAGCCCCGAAGCTGCAGGGGAGCCTCTCTGCCACCAGCGAGGTTCAGCCGCCCGGTCCCCACTCCGGAACACATTTGAAGCTGAGCAAGGGAAAAAGATGAAAAAAAAAAAAAAAGAAAGAAAGAAAGAAAGAAAAAAGAATAAAAGTGTCACAGCCCATCCCTAGGGCGAGTCAAAGTGAAAGAGAAACCCAGGAAGTCAGCTTCGTGGTGGCGGTGATGGTAGCGGCCACAAACTCCTTTGGGGCAACTCGGGGTTCTAGGGGTTCTGTCCTGCTGACCCCAGATCTGACCGGAATGCCCAGGTGCCAGCCTCATGGGCTACCTGTGGTTCCATCCGCCTGGCCAGGTCCCTGGCGCTCTCTAGCCAAATTCTTTTTTTTTTTTTTTTTTTTAAATAAAGATGGGGTTTCACCATGATGGCCAGGCTGGTCTTGAACTCCTGACCTCAAGAAATCCTCTTGCCTCAGCCTCCCAAAGTGCTGGGGTTACAGGTGTAAGCTACCATGCATGGCTGCCAAATTCTTTTTTTTCTTCTTTTGAGACACGGTCTTGATCTGTGGCCCAGGGTGGAGTGCAGTGGCGTAATCACAGCTCACTGCAACATCAGCCTCCCTTGGTTCAGGCCATTCTCCTACCTCAGCCTCCCCAGGAACCAGGACTACAGGCATGCACCACCATGCCTAGCTAATTTTTACATTTTTTGTAGAGACAGGGTTTTGCCATGTTGCCCAGGCTGGTCTTGAACTCCTGGCTTCATATGATCTGTCCACCTTGGGATCACAGGCGTGAGCCACCTCACCTGGCCATCTGGCCAGCTTCTGAGACTGAGACTCAAGAGCTGAAGGACAGCAGTGTTCTTGGATGGCTTCCGTTTATCCTTCCAACAAATTCTACAAAGAACCTGCAGCGTGCTGGCCCCCCAAAATGCCCACCTCCCCATATCCCAAGCTCCAGCCTGGATCCTCATATCTTTTTTCCTTCAGATGCAACTTTAGGCCTGGCGCGGTGGCTAACACCTCTAATCCCAGCACTTTGGGAGGCTGAGGCGGGTGGATCACCTGAGGTCAGGAGCTTGAGACTAGTCTGACCAACATGGTGAAACGCTGTCTCTACTAAAAATACAAAAATTAGTCGGGCATGGTGGCATATGCCTGTAATCCCAGCTACTTGAGAGACTGAGGCAGGAGAATTGCTTAAACCTGGGAGGCGGAGGTTGCAGTGAGCCAAGATCATGCCATTACACTCCAGCCTGGGCAACAACAGCAAAACTCAGTCTCAAAAAAAAAAAAAAAAAAAAAAAAGATGCAACTTTAGGGCTGGATTCAGTGGCTCACACCTCTAACCCCAGCACTTTGAGAAGTCGAGGTGGGAGGATCACTTGAGCCCAGGACTTGAGGCTAGCCTGAGCAACATGGCAAGACCCCATCTCTAGAAAAAATAAAAAATTAGGCCTGGCGCAGTGGTCATGCCTGTCATCCCAGCACTTTGGGAGGCTGAGGCAGGTCGATCGCCTGAGGTCAGGAGTTCAAAACCAGCCTGGTCAACATGGTGAAACCCTGTCTCTACTAAAAGTACAAAAATTAGCTATGGGTATGGTGACACGCGCCTGTAATCCCAGCTACTCAAGGGGCTGAAGCAGGAGAATCGCCTGAACCTGGGAGGCGGAGGTTGCCGTGAGCCGAGAATGCACCACTGCGCTCCAGCCTGGGCGACAGAGCAAGACTCCGTCTCGAAATAAATAAATAGCTGGCCATGGTGTTGTGCATCCGTAGTCTCAGCTACTCAGGAGGCTGAGGATGGAGAATAGCTTGATCCCAGGGGGTTTGCGGCTGCAGTGAATCGTGATCGTGCCACTGACTCCAGCCTGGATGACAGAGCAAGACTCTGTCTCTTAAAAAAAAAAAAAATTAAGACATGCAACTTCGTTTTTCCCCATGTTTCATTTCTTAGCCTCTGAGTATTTCATTTTCTGCCCTTCCCTCCCCACTGTCGGCAAAGCCTCTAAATGTCAGTGGAGAAGATCTGATGCAAGCTACCTCGTGGATGAACCCTAATAAACATTGTGCTGGTCGGGCGCCGTGGCTCACACCTGTAATTCCAGCACACGGGGAGGCCAAGGTGGGCTGATCACCTGAGGTCAGGAGTTTGAGACCAGCCTGGCCAACATGGTGAAATCCCATCTCTACTAAAAGTACAAAAATTAGCCAGGCGTGGTGACATGTGCCTATAATCCCAGCACCCGGGAGGCTGAGGCAGGGAAAATTCCTTGGACCCGGGAGGCAGAGGTTGCAGTGAACAGAGATCTTGCCATTGCACTCCAGCCTGGGTGACCGAGTGAGACTCCATCTCAAAAAACAAAAACAAAAAAAACCCATCATGCTGGGTGGATGAAGATGGACAGGAAAGGCACATATTGTACGACTCCACTTATATAAAATACCCAAAATAGGAAAATGTACAGAGGCAGACAGCAGATGAGTGGTTGTCAGGGGCTGGGGGGGAGGCGGGAGTGAGAAGTGACTGCTGATGTATGCGGGGTTTCCTTTTGGGGTGATGCAAATGTTCTGGAACCAGGGAGAGGCGCTGGCTGCACAACACTGTGAATGTGCTAAATGTCACTGAATCGTCTGCTTTAAAATGATGAATTTCCGGCCGGGCATGGTGGCTCACTCCTGTAATCCCAGCACTTTGGGAGGCCGAGCCAGGCGGATCATCTGAGGTCAGGAGTTCGAGACCAGCCTGGCCAACATGGAGAAACCCCGTCTTTACTAAAAAAACAAAAATTAGCCAGGCGTGGTGGCAGGCACCTGTAATCCCAGCCACTCGGGAGGGGGAGGCAGAGGTTGCAATGAGCCGAGATCGCACCACTGCACTCCAGCCTGGGCAAGAGAGGGAGACCCTGTCTCAAAAAAAAAAAAAAAAAAAGATGATGAATTTTAGGTTATGCGAGGCGCATCAACTACAGAAAAAAGAAATATTCTCAGAGTCCTGGGCACTGAGGAGGGATACGGGGAGGGTCTCTCCTGGGGGTGAGCATCTGGGGAAACTGAGGCCCGAGCAGGCAGGGTCACGCCATGCATTTCAACCTCCTGGGAAGAGGCCTCTCCTCCAAGAAGCCTGGCCCCAAGGATCAGCTGGGCTGGGCAGGGTCAGGCGCCTGGCAGGCTATGAGGTCAGTGAGTTGGGGACAAAGACTCAGTGTCCTGGGCCTGGCACAGTGGAGACGGGGACCCTGTGACCCCATACAGAACAGCCTTCTCTGGCCCCAGGGCCCAGGCCAGGGTCAGCTGGGAGATGGATGTGTGAGGACTGGGGGAGGGGCAGAGACAGAGAGAGGGACAGAGATACAGAGACACGTAAAGATGGAGGAGGCCAGGCAGGGGGGCTCACGCCTGTAATTCGGCACTTTGGGAGGCCAAGGCAGGAGGATCGCTCTAGGCTAGGAGTTCAAAAGCAGCCTGGGCAACATGGTGAGACCCCCATCTCTACAAAACATTAAAAATTTGCGCCAGGTGCGGTGGCTCACGCCTGTAATCCCAGCACTTTGGGAGGCCGAGGCACGCGGATCATGAAGTCAGGAGTTCAAGACCAGCCTGGCCAACATGGGGAAACCCCGTCTCTACTAAAAATACAAAAATTAGCTGGGTGTGGTAGCGCACGCCTGTAATCCCAGCTACTCAGGAGGCTGAGGCAGGAGAATCGCTTGAACTCGGGAGGTGGAGGTTGCAGTGAGCCCAGATCTGGTCACTGCTCTCCAGCCTGGGCAACAGAGCAAGACTCGGTCTCCAAAAAAACAAAAAATTTGCTGGGCATGGTGGCAGATACCTGGAGTCCCAGCTACTTGGGAGGCCAAGGCGGAAGGATGGCTTAAGCCAGGGAGGTCGAGACTGCAGTGAGCTTTATGCACCACTGCACTCCAGCCTGGGCCACAGAGCAAGACCCTGTCTCAGAAAATAAAAGAGCTGGAGGAAACAGGGAGAGATTAGAGGAAAGTCGTGGCCCCCTGCTGACCATCCTGAGACCCCCTGACTCCACCAATTCCCGGAGAGCCCCTCACCTGCCCCATTTCACAGATGGGAAAACTGAGCCCAGAGACACTCAAACCACCTGAGGCCCCAGCTGGAGGTGAAGAGATGGATTCAAACCGCCTCTCATGGAGCAGAGTTTGGCCCCTCCCAGAGTGGAGACCGTGCGTCAGGGCTTCCCCCACCCCCATCAAAGTCGGCCCCCGGAGGCCTCATCTTCCCCATCTACAAAATGGGCTGCTGTGAGTATGAAGGAGGGCTTGGCTCGCAGTGAGAGCTGCCTACCCTCTGGCTGGTGTGATTAGTCATTGTTGTTTTTCCACAGTGGCCTCTGTCTGGCAGCTGCTGGAAGACCTTGGTGGGAAGGGAGATACAGGGCCCAGGAGGTGAAAAGCTGGACACAGATGCCCCTAGCCCCTTGGGATCAGAGACAGATGGAGACTGGGTGCCCTGAAGTAAAGCAGGGAGGGCTGCCTGGAGGAGGGACATTTGAGCTAGAATTTATAGAATCAAAGGGCATCTCCGGCAGAGGCCACAGCAGACGCAAAAGTCCAGAGAAGGGCTTTGGCAACCACCAAGATGGACACAGTGGGTCTGGGGTTCTGTGGGGCAATGGGCTGTGGGGCAATGGGCTGGGCCCTTGATGGGCTTTGTCCGAGGGCAGTAGGGAGCCATAGCAGGTGTGTGAGCTGGAGGGGTACCCCAGACAAAGGTGAGGTGGTATTTCTCCCCTTATCAGTTACAACCTGATGCTCCCTCTGAAGTTTGCCACGTCCCACCTTCCCCTTGCCACATCTTAGCACGCCCACCTCCTTCCCTTCCTCTCCAGGCTTACCAGGAGGCCCTGTGGTTCCCTGACAGCCCCGCCCAGCTGCCCCAGAAGCGCATCTGAGATAAGCTCCCAGGGCTGCCCCACTTTCAGATGCCCCACAGACTGGGGGGAGGGCAAAGCAGGAAGGATCAAGTCACAGGGGCCCCCAGAAAACATGATGGGAGGAACCACAGCACTTCCTCACCTCCTCAGCTTCCGCCTTCTCAGGGAGAGAGACCTTCAGCCCAAGGAGGGCTGAGCTCCATGTGGCCAAGAGACCCTAACGCCACGGAGGATCATCTAAAGAGGGTGTTGAAGGACGCATAGGAGTTAGCCAGGAGAAA